ACGTAAATCCTCATCCCTTTTTTTAGGCTCCTGCATAACTATATTGTGCAGCGTAAGTCCTAATTCACTTTTGGTTCTGAGGATATCGTTTATTACAACGTAAACACTCATCTCTTTGCGGGTTATTTGCATAACCAGTTATCATACAAGTGTAAATCTCAAATAATAAAACTGACAGGATTAAACACCTTAAACCCCCAAATAACATCGTCTCCAAAACTCAGTCACACATTAGGATAGTTTGGGAAATCACTGATGTCTTCTCCTCAGAATCTCTGGCATCCCCTACCTTTTCCTTTCTTTGTACTCCTGAAAATAATTGTTCCTATTTGAGCCACTCCCACTTATTTTTCCACGTCCTAGCGTGAGAACCTAAACCTTTAATACTTGAAGAGTTCATTATCAAGTCACTTGTTTTTCCACGTTCATTATCGAAACTTTTCTCAAGTGACTTCAGTCATTTGTCATTTGGGATGTAATTAACTATAGCGGTTTGTCTTTATAAGGAGTTTGAAACTAAGGTAAAATAAATCATATTTAATTTTTGTATTAAATAGGAGAATTTGTCAGTCACACATAAAAGGTTCGCAGACGTATGTCACAAACCTCTTAGTTTGTCGGATTGGGTCTATCGCCGAGATATAGACTCATTTTTCAGGAATGTGTAATATTTGAGGTATCGGGAGCAATTATGCAAACTATTAGACTAATGAGATTCATTCAGTCTTATTTTCTAAAAATTAAAACACACTACTTTCAAAACTAAAACTATATACCTCTTATATTAAATTAAATTTTAAAATTATTTTCAATTTTCAAAATCAAAAAAAGGTTGACCGACAGGACATTGTCCTGTTTTATCTAATTGAGTTCAATATTTTGTCTCTTTTATGGATGATTTTTCTTGCATGACTTGATTTTACTTTATAAATTTCATACTGAGTTTCTATCCTATTTTCAATCATTTTATGCTGAAATTCACACATAAAAAAAGTTCGCAGGTCAAACGGATGTCATAAATCTCTTAGTTTGCAGAATTGGGTCTACTGCCGTGATATACACTCACCTTTCAGATGTGTAGTATTCACGATATCTGGCACGATTATGCAAACTATTGGACGAATGAAATTCATTTGGTCTCTTTTTTTTTAAAATTAAAGCACGCTATTTTCAAAATCCAAACTATATACTATTTATATTAAATTAAAATTTCAAAATTATTTTAATAATTTTCAAAAATCAACAAAAAGTTGACCGATAGGGATGCACATGCACGAGGTCCTCGTGATTTCAGTGTAACGAAAGCCGACCGGCTCATTTCAAGGATTAGGTGCCTCCTCTCTGTCTTGGGCCTTATTCTAATCTACTAGAGCTTATATATCTGATTCTTATATTTAGATTTTTAGTTTTTACTTGTGTATCTGTCAAGACACAATTCTCGATGTTACCCTTCCATGGTTTTATCTGAAGTCAAGAAGGTGTTTCTTTGTAACTCGTCTGAGGTAGTGACCATTTCACAAAAATAGAATGGTATTACGGCTATAATTTGATCCCTTGGAGATATTTATCATCGATTTCACATCCTCCGCAACCATGCCTTCACTGTCGCCGCCTACCCTCACTGTCGGAACCACCAGGCAACACTCATGTTGTCTTCCTACAACTCCAACTGCCATCCACCACCTCATCCACCTGTTGACATCCTTTCCAGCCACCTCCTACCTTGTTTCCACTCATTCCAGCCGCCCGTCTTCAATATCCAGCCATCCCCCCTCATTGTTCCATCCCAAAGACAGTCCTCCCTTTGTTGTCCCATGCTTTCCCACCGTTACCATTGTCATTCGTGCTTGTTGTCACCACCTTAAACAACTTTTCTTAGTTGTTTTCTGTTGTTCCAACCATTTGGCGAGCCATTTCCCTCATTCCAGCTTGCTGCCATTGTCACAACTCCTCTTCACTACCGCCATCCTCCTCTCGTGTTGTCACAACCCAGAATCGCCTTTCCAGCCCAACCAGTCATTTCCCTCATTCCAGCTTGTTGCCATTGCCACAACTTATCCCCTTCATTGTCTCCATCTGCCTCCCTTGCAGTCGCAACCCAAAATCGCCTTTCAATCCATTCCTCTACTGTCCAACCAGTCTTCTTTGTTGCCACCACCATTTCAGCCCTCCATCATTGCAGTCATCACCTGGGGCAGCCTTCTCACATCACTCCCTAATGTTTGCTTGTCGTCTGACATTAGGGAAACAGCCACCTTTTTAATTTTTGCTTGGCAATCACCTTTTTAACCCCCGCTCCACCTTCCAAACCTCGTTGGCCAACACCACCGTCCTTGGGATGCGCTCTAGTTGTGTTTGTTTGTGTTTTTTTTTTTTTGTGTTTTCCCTTTCAAGTGAGTTGGTTAAAACCTACAATTTAGTTTCAGTAATAATATTATTTTTCCTATTGTGGTTTGGGTTCAATCCGGAATCATTTGGTATCGAAGCTGGTCTAACTTGAGTCATACATTAAAGTTTCTAACTTCCCCCAGATGTCCAACCAAAAAATTTTCTTTCCCACCCAACATCACCATTATACCCCTCCTTCCACCTGCCCACACCCAAACGGGTCAAACCCTAATCATGCCATCAAAAAGATAAGTGACAGGCGCTGATCAGGAGTTTACCATGGAAGAGATAAAATGACAACTTCATCGAGTGCTACAATGGAAAAATGAAATTGAGGAAAGGAAAACAATCAGACGGGTGACCCTTAGCCACAACGATGACCAACTAATCGAAAGAATGGAGTGAATATCTTCCACCATGCAAATTCCAGGGATGAAAAACCTCTACCCCAAAGATTTAACCTGAAATATTTGAGAAGTCGGAATTTTGAAATAACAGTGTATATCATATTTCAACAGTCATATGGTTCAAGACGAGGTCATAGAGTGACTTTAGACCTTAAAATGTGTCTTTAAGTGTCAGGTCATCACCCCAGACAGAATGGTGAAACTTGCTGCCAGCAAGTTAAGGAAGAGAACATTTCAGTGATGGGCAAACTTGAAGATTCTTGCACAGCAAAAAGAGATGAGTAAAATTACTAGCTAGTCCAACATGAAACAGGAGATACAACATTAATATCTACCAACTCACCACAGACCGGATGTTTAGAATCCAACTTCAAAAGTGGAGAAATCACATCATCAAGCAACAACCACATCTTTCAGGCAAGATTTAAAACCATCTCACAATCAATGCACAATTAGGGGAACATCCAAGTTGACACTGTTTAAGGAGAAACTGATTCAGAGTTAGGAACAAGTGGATCGAACCATTATTCTTAAATCTATCCTAGTCAGAAAATTTTTCAAGTGCCATAATTTTGGCATATTTAATCAGATTGAACAATCAGGTAATGATCTATTTCATGACTAAGGAGCAGTTCAAAATATAAACAGTGATCTTCGAGAAGATGAAGATTTCAGAGAGAATTCTCAATTGTCATTCAACGATGTAGAGACGCTAGTGATTCAAGATAATCCCACAAGAGAGGATCAAGTTGGATTAATCAAGGTTGTTCTAGAAAATAGTGAGTTTGAGGTAGCGCTCATGCAAAGTATCATGTTAGATGCCACGAACCTCCTTTCTGCCAGCGTTGGGAGGAGTATTAGTAGGACTAGTATTGGATGTCCGAAAAATTCATTGGTTGCAAGATCGACACCAAACACATGAAAACTCCATTTAAAAGAAATTCAGACTTTTCATATATATAGACTGCTTCCTGAGTTGTCTCTTCTGCATATCTGAGATGAGGCACATTTGTGCCACCTTGGGAATATTATATGGAGTTATTCAGACATTTTTTAATTCAGCAGCGTGACCACCAATAGATAGCTAGACAAGAGGGAAGAATCACAGCTTTAGAAAGTGTCTCATGAGCTTGGTGAAGCAGAAAATTCCTCAATGAAATCCGTGTCCTACCAGAGAAGAAAAAGAGATCTTCGAGCAGTAATACTTCAGTGTGATCCAACTTGTCATAGATTTCATATTAGAGTTGATTCATCATTACATACTTGTTTATCAAATACACTCGGACGAGTACAAGGAGTGGAAGAAGTCAAGTTCAGATTTAATGGTTTGAAGATTGATTCATGAGGATACCCATCCACGTACAGTTCCAGTTATGATTATGCCAAAACAGAATGGATAACTATTCTATCAATATATGTTTTAGAATGACAATGCCTATATAATTGAGTTATTGGGAGATTGCTACATTGTTATCACTTTCAACGTGACTGACTGGACGCCATACTACGAGGAGATAAAAGCTTCGACGGATGTGGTCAAAGCTCCTCGAACCCCAAGGAAGCTCACACGATAACGTTTGGCATGGGACGCAGAATGTGAGAGCTTCTCCCACTTTGGACACGAGACGCGTGTTCGAGGGGTCCTCATAATTACAGTGCTTGAACTGATTGATCTAGGAAAGAGAGAAAGCCAACCAACTCCCTCCTTTCTACAATGGGCCCCACCCTAATTATCTAAGGCTTATATATTTGATTCATGTGTTCAAGTTTTTAATTTTTATCTATCTATCAGGACAGTCATCGACTTCTAATTTTCCCCATCTAAGGTTGTATCCGAAAGCGATAACGTGTTACGACTGTAACTCGTCTGAGTTGGCACCATCTCCCAAGGATAGAAAGGTGCTCTAGCTGTAATTCGATTTCTTGAAGTTATTTATTCTAGATTTTTCATCCTCTGCAACCCTCCCTTTGTTGTCACTGCCGCCTTTCCTCGTTGTTGGAACCACCGGACATCACTCTCGTTGTCTCCATGCAACTCCAGTCGGCACCAACTTCACTTGTTTTCATCCTTTCCGGCCACATCCCAATTGGCTGCCACTCATTTCAGCTGCTTGTCTTTGTTGTCCGTCATTCCCCCTTGCAGTCGAAGGCCCGGGAAAGCCCTCTCTTTCGCACGCTTTTCAACTTTTGTCGTTGTCATTCCCACTCACTGACGCCACCCCGAATAGTTGTTCCCGGCTATTTTATGTTGTTCTACAGCCTGACCAGTCGTTTCCCTCATTTCAGCCCTTGCCGCAACTCCTCCCCTTCGCTGTCGCCACCCTCCTCCCGTGCTGCCACAACCCAATATCGCCCTTTCCAGCCATTTATTGTTGTCCAACACCCCTTAGTTATTGCTGCCATTTCAGCCCTCCATCCATATTGCCATTATGTTGGGCAATCCTCTCATATTACTCTCTACTGTTTGCTTATTGTTCGGACAGAGGAAACAGCCGCGTTGCAGTTTTTTGCTTTCCAACTGCCTTTCCACCCTGCACCATCTTCCACCCTCGTCGACCACCACCACCATTTGTTGGATGCACTCTAGTTGTGTTTGTTTATGTTGTTGTATTTTCCCTTTCAAATGTGTTGGTTGTAGCCTTATATTTGTTTTCAGTAATAATACTTGTTTTTCCCATTGTGTTTTCGGTTAACTCCGATATCAAGGGCATCCTTGGCACAGTAATTGTCGTGTCAGGATCGATTTGGTCCAAGCATAGAACAGACCAGCAAGTGCTTCCAGGCAGGAAATTTCCCCTTATTGGGAGTGGGGTCCACTCCAATTTACCCTACAACTATTTATATTGTTTTTTTTTCTTTTTTTAGGTCAATTTTTTGCTTGAGCTTGTTTGGGATAGTTGTCAATATCTTTGGTAGGGTTGTATCAAAGGGTCGAGTGATACTTCGACTATATTTCGCTCTCGATGTGATGATTACAATTCTCTAACACCTCCGGGTCCCTCCACTCCGCTGCCACGCATCCCTCCTCTGTTGCGGTCGTCTAGAACAGTAGCTCCTAGCTCTTTTTCTGCGGTTCCCGACCTCCCTGCCACCCCTCCCAATCCCCTCTTGTTAGTTCCCACCCGTCCAGCCTTTCTAGTCACTCCTCTCATTCCGTGTTGTTGTTCTCCCTATTGTTCCCGCATTCACGCTTAGCCGCCATATCGCAAAGACCCTCCTCTAACCGCTGTTTTCCGTGCTACCCAGCCCACCGACATACTTGTTGTAAGAAGCAAATACCTACTGTGTCCTAGTTGTACCCGGCCCCCTCTCCACTTCCCTGACTTACCGTCACCTTTCCCACCTCCCAACAGCCACCACCCCCACCGACATACTTGTTGTAAGAAGCAAATACCTATTGTGTCCTAGTTGTACCCGGCCCCCTCTCCCCTTCCCTGACTTACCGTCACCCTTCCCACCTCCCAACAGCCACCTTAGAGTCACCCTAGTATTTCAGTTTGTATGGTTGTAATTTCATATTTGATTTCAGTAATCATGTTTGTTTTTCTCATTATTGTTGGTTAACTCTAAGATCAATACATACATATGCGTGTGTGTAAAATATTTAGCCTAGGCGTATTTTAATATAACTGTTCGTTGTATTAACATACAGTTAGCCCAAACGTGCAATTTTCCTTTTGCAATTGCACTAAGCTCTGCATCTAGAATGAATAACTGTGCAGTTTTGGTGTGAGATATGAGCTGTAGAGATAAAAAGGGAAGATGAAGACTAAGGCTATGTTTTCTTGTGGAATATTTTATTTTTCATATTTTCTTCAATGAAACAACATTGATTCAAGTTTGATAGGTATTAATACATGAATGGGGGGGATCAATTTAAGAAATAAGTTGATTTTAAATTTGAGTTGTAAGTTAGAAATATAGATGTAATAAAAAAAATCCATATTTTGTTGATTGTATAAAAAAAATTTAAAATTTAAGGCCGATCAGTGTAAGAAAACTTATCTGGTTGTTGATCAATGTGTGTAAGATACTCAATTTCTAATTCTAGAAGCAAATTTGACTTGAATGTAAGCTAATTCAAATATAGTTTTTGTTTTGCGAAGTAAATATTTTGTCCTATCATTGATGATTAAAAAATCATGCAACAATTTTAAATTATGCAAAGCACGTATTTAAAATATTAGGATATGTTAATAATTTATTAAAATGATGCATTTTAAAAGAAGGCTATGAGTACTTTAAAACGATAAATACTGTCGATTAACATAGTTCATGATGTATAGCATATATATTCAAATGTTCTATGATGAAAAAATAATGCAATGAGCTTAATAGAAATAATGCAAGTGGGTAAATTGGCAATGACACGGGAGTGGCAATAGACTTACAAGGTGAACCCTTATGGAAGAGAGAGATCCTCAACCTCTTTGAGATTTGAATGATAGTTCAATAGTGATAATGATGTATTACACTCGAACTTCATTGAACTTTTAATGTTAGCTCACGGTTTGGGTTAGTTGTGAATCTGATATAGCCAACTACCTTATGATGGCAGATAAATCTAAATATTCATACATTATAAGGCTGAAATATAATTTACTAAATTAAGAAATAAACTAAAAAAAATAAATGAATGATATACTATGACTAATCTAGCATATTGAAATTAGTGCACTTGACTATCATAATGTGCATCGTGTATTATGATTGAACATTTAATATTTCTTTTAAGAAACTCCCTTAGTAACATTGCCTCCATTACTATGTTGTGTCATTATTCAAATAAACTTACTTTGTAATGTTTATATGTGATGCATTAAGCAAATCTACGAATACATTCTAATCCTTACATCAAATTTATGATTTTTACATCATATGATTCTCTTTCTCTGATAATTTGAATTGTGTATTAGAATTGTTTATCTTACTTTGAGTATAGCTCACCGCATTATTATTTTAGATATTGCTAAAAGTAGTAGAATAAAGGACGGGATTGATCCTAAGTGAGAAAATTAAAAATTTATTACCCTGTATTCTGATGTAAAATTTTGATATAAGCATTGAAGCATGCTAAGGTAATATATAAGAAGAATGTTATGAATGTGAACTCTGTGGTATATTAGAATATCTATAATTGAATGAATAAAATATTTTAGGCCACTTCATTACAATGGTCAGTGTTAACTAAGTTGATCTCTATTGAGTCAAAAGTTATTTTGTATGTTTTGATTTGGGAAATTCAAAATCACCCAAATCCAATTTGATTAGTAAAGTTCCAAGGTGGGGTTATTAATACATTCAATTGGTTGAGCCTGTCATAACTTATGCACAATTAGATGAGGTCATAACAATCACTTCTTTTAGCATCTTATGCAACACACCAACAATCACCCAAGGCTTACTAATATTCAAAACTCATAGGCCAACGCATGACTTTCAATTTTTGTTCTCATGCTTATAACACTTTAGATACGATTATTCAAATGCATATCAAATAAAAATTTTAACCAAAAATTATCATTTATCAACAATAACAAACTCAAACAATTTTTTACAACCCAGTATTATCCTTAAAAACGAATAACAATTTGCCTTTGTCTCCACCTATTTAGAATGAGGGAACGTCCTAACAAATTATAAAGTCAAAACATTATAAAGTCATACAGCTCTTTTATTTCCATATTCAATTTTTGTTTAGTTCAAATGAATACTTTAATTTGATGAGGAACTAAAATATCAATCCGTTTTATAGTACACTAATAACATGTAGCAGCGAACAACAATAGCATAAGACATTCACTTACCAGCAATAAAAAAGGCCAAAAATATAGAATATGGAAGTTAGGAACTAAAATATCAATCCGTTTTATAGTACACTACAGAAAAAAATAACATGTAGCAGCGAACAACAATGGCACAAGACATTCACTTACCAGTAATAAAAAAGGCCAAAAATATAGAATATGGAAGTAAGCTTTGCTTTAAACCCCATTATTTCCAAATTGTATCCCGACGTAAGACAAAAAACAATTTTAAAACTAAGTGATTGAGAATGCCGGAAAAGAAAAATCAACGAGAAAACCAGTAAAAATAACCTTATATGCTGCATCTTTAAGAGTTTGCAGATTCTCCAATTTCAGTTTATATGTCTTTATCTCTTGTGCTTGATCCTTGTGAAGCTTTTTGATGACCTCTAAGGCTTTCGTATAACTGGAGAGAAGCAATCTGAAGGTTAGAGACAACAGAGATGATACGGTCGTACAACCAATAACAAATGATCATAAAGATGCAACAAATGAGACCTTTGAATAAAGAACATTAAACAGATACCATGTAAACAAAAGTTCCATAGAACTGACCCAAAAAAAGAAAGAAAACCCATAAAATTAATCAATATGATCCTGTTACACGCAGACATCTAATTTTAAAAAACGGCTACAAAAGTAAAAATAACAAATTGAAACTATACACATCTTCTAAGAATTACTCAAGCATTTGAACCCAAAAAAGAAAATTTGACTGCATTAATTTAGTGGGGAATCTTATCCATAAGACAAGTCTTGTACATATTTGATTCCCGTCCGTTCCTTCCCAAGGGCATGCCCAATTTATGTTTACTTATTAACACCTCACACAGTTCCCTTGTGAAAATAAATTTAGAAAGCCCAAACCCAACATATCAAATTAAGACATCTGTTTACCAGACTCATGTGGCATTTTTAACTGCCCTTGTGGAATGAAAATTTTAGCCTTATTCTATTCACAAATATATCCTCATAGATCTTTTTTTTTTATTGTTATTGGCTTTTCTGTCAGTCGACCAATAGAATAATATAGAAAGTTCCTATAATAATTTAGCAAATATATCCTCATAGATCTTTTTTTTTTTTTTTTTGTTATTGGCTTTTCTGTCAGTCGAATAATATAGAAAGTTCCTATAATAATTTAGCAAGATATAAAATTTCAAACTTCATGTACTAAGAATAACCAAAAAAGAGAATGAATTAATCTGTCGCATTCCTTCCATGTGTTTTCTGTAACATTCAATTTTAGAAACAAGGACAAAAGCAAGTTAAAAAAAAGGAAGATTTACATACATACCACCCAATTCTTGTGTATTTACATATCCTAAACTTCAATTTTTTATATATGTGCCGCCTTACATATGCACAAAAAATGTCTATTTCACTTTTTACAAGTTAAAATTGCATTACTTTAGATGTGATGTAATCGATATAGTTAATAGAAATGTAAAAAAGTAAAGTTTAGGTGTTGGATAGTAAATACATAGGATGTGTGGTATGTATATAAATGCCCCTAAAAAAATGCAGCTCGTGTGCGAGCAAATTAATCTCTAAGTACGTAGGATAATGAAGCTACACATTGATATATGCTAGGCTGTTATGAATTATAATAGAAAATAACTTATTCCTGTAAGAAGTTTGATGAATAAATTATTTCCTGAGAATTAAGAAAATATTTCTCGTCCTATTTTATAATTATTTCCTTGGATTATGAATTATTTATTTTACTATTTTATGTTATTTATTATATCTCCTAATAATTAATATGAATTGAATATTGGAGATATCATGTGATATATCTTTCCTTTCATATCATTTTTTTTTATTATTTTTCTTATTATAGAATTCTTGTAAGGGTTATTTACACCCTCATTCATATCAATGAAAAAAATATCATTTCTTTTTTATTATTTTTCTTATTATAGAATTATACCCCCGTTCATATCAATGAAAAGAAATAAAATATTCCACTTTATTCTGCATTATTAATTATTCTGAATTTCAACATGGTATCATAGCCTAATTTCATACTCTAGCCACCAGTCTTTCTTTAAGAATTGTCGGACTCCGTTCCTGTCATCCTCTATGCGGGAAGAGAGGGGCACCCATCTTGGTATTTGAAACAACAATTTTTTTCTCCTTCTCTCCCTACAAGTTTTGTCTGTTGGTCGGCCCTTCTTGAATCGGAAGTCACGTAACATACCCGTCTTGTTCTGCTCCTCCTCTGCTCCCTCTTCCCAACGCCAACTTCTTCCACCGGCATTGCTCGCCGCTGGCCTCTCTTCTTCTTCATCCTCCGGCGGCACGAAGGTCGCATCCCCATTACCCTTAATTCCCACTAACTTGCAACCCAGCGAGCAGAATCAGAAGTGATCGAGCAGGGATCGAGCGCATATTTCACACTTGTGCGGGGATGCACCCTTACCGCTAGTATGTGGTTGGGGCCACTCATTGAGATAGAGCACTCTGGCACACTTGATCACATACGTCTGAACTCCCCCGATCTTCAGAACCTTATGGATCTCCGCCACACAAACCACATCGTGATAAAACAACCATTGTATCTGAATCACGCGATGCCCGACATGTTGCTCCGAGCGACGATAGAGGCAGAATGCACCAGAGCCAGCGTCCCCGCAGTCGAGCAGGACATGCTGCATTTGTTGTGCGCAGCATCCGCAAGAGTAGAACAAATCGAGAAGAAGGGGGTTGTGAGCAGAGACTCTAGCCATGGCGGCACTAACGATACCCCCGGCGTTGCCCCCCCCCGCCTCATCATCATCTCGTCGGAGATATCACTTCGTCAATCGGACAATGTCGGCGAAATCCATCACCGGTCATTTCTTCTGCAGTATTTTTTCTTGCACAAGCATCTGGAGGAGCTATGTTTTCAGTCAAGCTTGAATCTACTTCTCTTTATGCTGAAACATATGGCTGACAAAACTCAATTTTCAGTCAAACTTGAATATACTTCTCTCTATGTTGAAACACATGGCAGACAAAACTCAAAATTCAATCAAACCTGAATCTAGCAAATTCGACAATCTATCTTCTTTCTATGTCGAAACACATGACAGATAAAACTCAAAATTCAGTCAAGTCTGAATCTAGAAAATTCGATAATCCAAAAAATTTTGTTTTCAAAGCTAACCAAGTAGTACTTCACATCGCATCGAACTTGGTACATCATGAGTGAACAAAGCACATAGAGATTGATTGTCCTCTCATACAGGAGAAGGTTCAAGAAGGAATGATAAAGTTGACTCACGTGTCTACTTTAGAACAGTCAGCGGACATTTTCACAAAACCACTAAACGCTTCTTAATTTTCGATATTACTCAGCAAATTAGGAATTATTAACATACATTTCAAACTTGAGGGGGAGCGTTAGAAATTATAATAGGAATTAATTAATTCCTGCAAGAAGTTATAATCAATAAATTATTTCCTTATAATTAATAAGATATTTCCTTTCCTATTTTATATTTATTTCCTTGGATTAGGAATTATTTGTTTTCTTATTTTATGTTATTTCATATAGCTCATAATAATTAATATGAATTAAATATTGGATATATCAAGTGATATATCTTTCATTTCATATCATTTCTTTTTTTATTATTTTTTCTATTATAGATTTTTGGAAGGATTATTTATACTCCCGTTCGTATCAATGAAAAAAAATCAAGTAGTCTACTTTATTTCGCATTATTCTAAATTTCAACAAAGGCTATTTACATAGTAATTAATCAACATGAGAAACCTCGGTCCAGTCCTACACAGCTTATGCATGAAATATTGTTCGAGAAAACCAGCACAACACATACTTTCTCAAAAGATGAACCTAAAATCTAGAAAAGCCAATGTAAAGGTGGTTTATGTCAAAGAAAACCCGGGGCATTTCCATACATACCGCCTAATTCTTATGAATTTACATAACTAATACTTAAATTTTACTTATTACATTTACCCCACTCAAATATTTCATATCACATCAAAAATACCACCATTTTTACTTTTAAAAATTAAAATAGGATTATTCATGCATAGGTAAAGTTGCATGTATGTAAAAATTGAAGTTTAGTTGTTAGATATGTAAATAAATAGGAATTGAGTTGTATATGTGTGTATGTAAATCTTCCCAAAAAAAAGGAGCCGATTATTCTATCCATAAAAACAGACAGTAAATTCTTTACAAGAACTATTCATACACTCAATTGAAGAACAAAATAAGTGGAAGTGGACATAAAATACCGAGTGGCGGAGAATATGTCATCAAATTTCTTCTTCAGTGTTGATGGATCCTGTAGTGGCCAATTGGAGTCATCCTGGTGGACAAATATGACATTATCAAGGACAGCTTTGGAGACACCCATCAGAGCCGGAATCTCCCTATCCATGTCAGCGCATCTATAACTGAGGCATACCTTCTGAAAATTACCCCATAAATCACAAAAAAACAACAATCTTCATGAGAAAAAGTAAAGTTCCTTTGATCTTATACAAGTTCTAAAGTGGAAAAAAAGAGTCGCGGCAGAACCTCTGCAGTGAGAGGGTTGATAGTCTGGAGTACACTCTCTAGAGCTTTGAACTCCATCTTGGAAGCTTTCTGTGTAAGCTGGAAGGAGCGTATGCACACCACATCCTTGCCAGCAGCAGTCTTGAACCGGAGCTTGATCTGCCCCTTAGTCTCCGTCTCCCCCAAAACCTATCAAACAGGGCATTTCGTGAATAATAAACAAGCACAGCCCACCAACTCCAAAACATCACATAAGCGTTTTAAGCGTGAGAGGCTAGACCTTGGGGTCATGGATGAAGCTGTGGCCGGAGCGCGAGTTGGGAGGCAGCTCCCCGGTGCACGCGAGCTTAAGGCATTCGATAATAGTCTTCGATCAAAGACAGAGAAAAATGTGAGATAAGAACTCTGAAAAAGGACACGAGATCAATAGAGAAGAAGATTTTGTGTGTGTACGGTTTTGCCGGCGCCATTGGGGCCAACGATGAGGGTGAGGGGCCTGAAGAAGGCGATGACATGCTTGTTCTCCGGATCGAAGCTCCGTATGCCTTTGATCAGCATCTTGTCCACGGTGCTCATCTTTGCTCGATGATTCGGCCTGGGCTCGATCGCCTGAAGAGGAGAGAGAGGATGTTCGTAGGGTTTTGGTGAGGGTTTTGGACCTTCTCGTTATGCTTCTTGGAGAAGAAGAGAGAGAAGCGAGGAGTGGGAAATTGTAAGACCCGGCCAGCACGTAGAAAACCATTTCGGTGCCATAATAGCTTTGACAGTAAAAGCCTCCGTTTAGTATAAAAATTTAAATGTAATTTTGGATAAGCTCATGAAAAACGCGAATCAAACGATATTGCGGTGTTTTGAAAACGCCGCTCGCACTTATAAGTTATCTCAAAAGGACCCTAATTCGCTCGAAATTGTAAGACTGAATCAGAGGGGGGCTTACACTGGCGCGCATTTTCTGTTTGAACACTTGATGTATTTTTACCTGTGTTGCAGGTTATTTCTGAGTTATTTTCAGGTTATTTTTGTGTTATTTTTAATAATTCCGAAGAAATAATCCAAAAATAAAGACCGCAGATTATTTTTGGTTATTTCGGGATTAATGAAAATAACAAAGAAATAATGCGAGGAGTGGGAAATTGTAAGACCCGGCCAGCACGAGAAAACCATTTCGGTGCCATAATAGGTAAAAGCCTCCCTTTAGTATAAAAATTTAAATGTAGTTTTGGATAAGCTGGTGAAAAGTGCGAATCAAATGGTATTTCGGTGTTTTGAAAACGTTGCCCGCACTTATAAGTTATCTCAAACAGACCCTAATTCGCTCGAAATTGTAAGATTGAATCAGAGGGGGGCTTACACTGGCACGCATTTTCTGTTTGAACACTTGATGTATCTTTACCTGTGCTGCAGGTTATTTCTGAGTTATTTTCAGGTTATTTTTGTGTTATTTTTAATAATTCGGAAGAAATAACCCAAAAAATAAAGACCGCGGATTATTTTTGGGTTATTTCGGGATTATTGAAAATAACAAAGAAATAACCTGAAAATAACTCAGGAATACCCTGAGCCGCACGTACAACTACGTCAGGAGTCCGCACAGAAAAATTTTTGCTTACACTGAGGATGGCATACGCAGCATTACTTTATGTAATTTAATTATTTCGAGTCAAAACGAGTCAAACACAAACAATTTGTTCATTCGTGTTTGGCTCATTTATATATCGAGCGCCAAAAAAATTTTTGTGTTCGGCTCATTTGCTCAGCGAATAAATCGAACACAATCACGTTCAAAGAGATGTTTTGACATCCCTAACTATAGTATATTTAAAATGTATCTAGCTTCAAGAATCTAAATACAAAATACTAATATTACTTAGACGCATTTACATGCATCCCACTTAATTTTTATATATCTATATCTCCAAACACCAACCTTTTATTTTACATTTGGGGTTCTTACATGCCTAGCACCAAAAACTTCTATATTAACATATTTCACACCTAAACTTACATTTCTTACATATAAAGCACTAGTAATTCATTTAACACATCAAAATTAACACTCCGTTAATCTCCATTTCCACATTTCATTAAGGGTCCGTTTGGGGCGCGCCGCCGTACCGTTTGGTTCACGCTTTTTGTCAGCTTATCAGAAACTGCGTTTGGGTTTTTGCACTAAACGCAGGCCGCGGGTCGACCCCTGTAGCCGGCCCGCGAGCCGCGTTTTCCTGAAACGCACAAGCTGCTCCAAACGGACCTTAATTCTCATGCTAAGACCCACATTAAAGAATTTAGAAGTCGAAAAACAAGAGTTGTTTCTCGCATATAATAAACGGAAAAAGATAACCGAGATGCCTCATATGTAAATATATAACAAATGTAAGTTTAGCAAATAAAGATACCCACATTAATGCTATAAAATTAATCCATGCATGATTGATGTTTATACTAGAATTGAATGCATGATGGACATCATACAATGTGATTAGTCTCTTAAGAAGAACTATCTTAAAAAAACACTCTAGTACATAGAGTTGACATCAATTTTTCTTTTGGACTTTAAATTTAGAGAAATTTACACATATAGCACATAGTTTTTATGTATTGACATATCAAACAGCTAAAATTTGATATTTATACTTATAACACAATGATATCATAAATCTATGCATAGAAGTATATTTTTCACTTTTAAAGAGATAATTATGACGATATTTTTGATGTGACGTTGATGATTTGAGTTTTATAAGAGTAAATATGAATGTTTAGACGTTAGATATGTAAATATATAAGATTTGTTTGATATGTATGCAAATGACTCTTAAATCTATTCATGCAACTCCTTTCTCAATTAAACTTTTTAACCTTTATCCTTCATCTTCCTTGTCCTTTTGAATTTAATTGTTTTTTCATTAATTTGATATACTTGTTTCTTTGATGATTTATGGCCGGGAAATTTATATACGTATCATCCAATTTCTATGTATTTACATATCTAACGCCTAAACTCTATTGTTTATATTTACACCACTGAAATCTTTCATATCGTATAAAAATATCAATATTTTAAAATAAAAAAAATAAAATACTTCTTCTCATGTATAAATAAGATGACATGTATGTAATAAATTAAAGTTTAGGTGTCAGATAATGTTGAATATGTCCGTGAATCACACCCTAGGAATATAGCTTAAATAAGGAGAGAGAGTCAGTGAGATGAATAATAATGAATAGCATTAAACAATGCGTTTATTTTTTATAAAATATTATCCCTATTTATATGTGATATAATACAATGATGATATTGCATTTTTACCCCCGTTTTGAAGAGGTTTGTACTAGAATATTTCTGATATGTTACAAGTGTGTGTTTATTGTCTGGCTGCATTTTGGCTCTATCTTCTAAGCTTAGTAGACTTCAAGTCAACGGGATCAGCCCAGCCGGCTAATCCAGCCTGGTTGACCATCTTCGATCCCTAGTGAGGAGTCTTTGGGATCTCCACAAGATGTTTCTGACAAACATTATGAAATTGAATATTCATTTGGATTGGCTCTACTATGGATAGTATATCACATTGACTTTCCTTAGTGAATGATTTGGATGCTCTCGTCTCATTTCCTGTCAGAAGGCTCGTGATTAGATCATCTGATCATCTTCTTTTATGTCTCATGACTTAGTCAGCTTCGACATAATTGACCTAGCATGTATGTCGTTGCTCGTTCGATCGAGTGGGCCTCACGGTCTCCTAATAGTGGGCCAGCCTCTATCATACTCTTCCTTTCTAGGCCGTTAGATCTCTTTAAGATTAGTGCAAACATATTTTTATGTACATATTTTAGTTCTTTGGTTATCTTATTTTTTGAAAGTCATGTTGTGATAAGAATAAGAGAATTTAATACAAAAGCACATCACATTCAATTTAAATTAAGTTGATCGAACTCCCATAATTTCAGTGTCTTTGATTTTTTTTTTTAAATAGGGGCACAATGGGACCCATTCTTATTCATAATTTGCTCTTCATTTTTCCTTATTTGAATCAGCTGGCTTCCATTTTTTAGGCGTTGTGATGGACAACTTTTCAAAGTCTCATGCTAACATTCATACCTAGAGTTTAATCCATTATGTCTTCAAGAAATCTAGAAGTCAGAATTGACCAAAGGGTGATAAGAGGAAAATGGTTGTCATAAGAAAATAAGAATATTCTGCTCCCATAATTGGATCAGGTGAGGTCATCTGATTCGATCCTTGGCACTACGTAGAGGAACTTTCAACCAACAGACCTGAACTTTGATTAGATTGATCTACATTCTGCGGCAACTCATGATCATTTGATAGACCAGGCTACTCAAATATTTTCTGGTGTGCTTTCGTTGCTTTTACCGGTGATTCCTAGTGAGCCTATCACGTCAATTATGTTATCTGAGTTGAATCAGCTCCTGGGTACGAGGGGCTTTGTTCTTGTTTGTCGGGTCTAATTTTGTGAATTTTTTTTTAGTTTTACTATGACTCAAGATATAGATTTTATGTCTCTGATCAACCTAGATCGGGGTTTGATCTTTCAATCCTACAATTTATTTAGAAATTTATGACATATCACAAAATTTAAGATCGTGAGAAAACCTTGAAGGTGAGGTTTTACGCCGTGCTGAATGAACAATTTGAGAATCCTAAAATTAAGCCAATGTTCACCGAAAAAAATGAAATATTATAACCTAATTTAAAGAAAGAAAGCACACAAGCAAGCATGTAGAATGAATTTACAACCATGCCTCGAAAAAAACGTCTACTAAACCACCTAAATGCATTTTAAAATCATGAAGGTCGATTTCAAAGAATACAATATAGGAAATGTTGTTGTTTATTAAGAATTGCAGACCTTACAACTTGGTCATAAATTTTAAGATGTCTAGGTATGCTTGGTATAAAAAATGTCCTAATTCTAATGCCAGTTTATTTTTATATATTTACAACATTAAAAACTTTACATACAAACCACACAATTTTTATATATTTACATATCTAACTCTAAACTATAATATTTATATTAACAACATTAAAAACTTTATCGTTGAAAATATCACAACCAACAACTGTTTAATAATGAAATATGTTTTTTCATGTATAGTTTCATCACATCAAAATGTTGATATAAAAATTTTGGTTTACCATATAAATAGATAAAAATTGTGCTGACATGCACGCAAACTTCCATATATATATTTTTTTCTTAACAACCAAGACGTTATTACACCACTTTTAAATAATTGAAGTAACCAAAACATATACTACGAGCGAAGCCAAATGCATGATTGAATGCTTATCATCCATGCTTCGCTAAACCACTTAGATTTGCCACAACAATTCAAATATTGCGCTCGAATGTGTAGCACATTGATTGAAAACAAAGAGATGAGTCTTACGGTGCCGGAATCAAATGCTCTTCTCCCCCCAAAAAGAAATAAAAAAATAAGAAAATATACTGCTTTCACTTCTGCACTAAACATTCCAAAAATTTAAGATTAGTGCCTCTAGCGGTCAATAAATGTCACAATCTACATGCAATTCTTCTTTCAAGAGCATAATTCCACCATATAAGATATAGAAAGCTCCCATCATGAAATGATTTCTTCAGTTCACAGAAATGTTGAGAACATAGTAACATATGTGACAGAGAGAATGAAAACAGATATATATTTACAATATAGACATCAAAGCCTAAAAGGGTACTTTAGTTAGCAGTAATGTCAAAAGAAAATTGCATAACTATTTCAGCTTCTCATCCTGTAAAAACCACCATCATAATTTGGCACTTATGAGACATTTGACCTTTCCTCTTTCTTCATAAAAATTGAACTTGAAATCCACAGCCTTAGCTTATAACTGCTGAATCCAAGCTTGGGATGGAGCTTCAGGACATGATTGAGAAGAAGAAGGCAAATCTGCTGAAGAATCAGCTCTTTGTTTCCGCATGCGAGCTCCCCAAGAGAGATTGCCGCCTGAATTCTTAATCATGCTCCTCCTCTTCAGCTCTACAAGCTGATGCTGCCAGCGATTTTTCCATCGAGATTTCCCCCGCAGCTCCTGGATGAAAATAACAAGAGCATGGAGATATCAGTCATGCGAACTTGTGAGGTCTCTGAGTCTTAAGAGAGCATGGAGATATCAGTCATGCGAACTTGTGAGGTATCTGAGTCTTAAGATGTTGAGAAAATGACTAATAAAATATTTTTTTTCCAATCCTACTTACCTGATGACAATAAACAAAAATGTTAAAATTATGATCCAATTCTAAATTAGTCCCTGATCATTCATATGTGACTGATTTAGTTCTAACATTTATTCAATTTAGTCACTAGATTGTACAAATTTAATTCAAAATAATCTCTCATATTAAAATTACAATATAAAATTAATCACAATTTAGTTTACTGAGAAACTGCTGGGGATAAATTATACATAATTTTTGAATAGATGCTTCGTAGTTCATCGTTATTATTATCATTAGCTTTGTCTCAACTATTTGGCATTGACTTTATAAATCCTCTCTTTTTGATCCAAATGGCATGCAGTGAAACTTGCAGGGATCAATAAAAAAAAGAATAAACCAAACCGACAAGATTACCTTGGGAATTTCATGGACTCATTAACAAAAACTAATATGTTTACCAATAAAATAAGCCACTTGAAAACGATAGCAGGGACAAGACAAGAATTGAAGTTCATGAAATCAAGCATCATTGCAAAAATTGATTAACAGATGTCACACATTTGATGAGGCAAAGATAGAAAATGTTTAGATATAAGGTTAGAAATTGGAACATAGCATGAAACAACTAAATTACCAAACAAACCAACAAACAAACAGTAAAATGTCAATAGTCCAATGAAAATTAGTGAGATAACCACCCCGAATCTTTCAAGTTTACAAATTCTCTCATATGAAAGCATTTTAATGGCATCACTAATTTGGGAATCTTAATGAAAAAATCCCAACATCACCACCAAAGAGCCACAAGCACATGGTTGCAGAAGCACATACTCAAAAATACCATATTTTTCAATACTGCCGGCATAAAAAGAAAATATGGATCACCACGAAAGAGCCACAAGCACATGATTGCAGAAGCACATACTCAAAAATACCATATTTTTAAAAATGCAGCTCATAATTTTGAAAAACTACAATGGTCTATGCCATATGCCATATGTGCGACACAAGTAATAATCAAGTATGGCAAATGATACATGCATACGTGATCTTTAGAATGCTGAAAGGAAATATGTTTTCCACATGACATATCAGCAGAAATAATGGAACTACTCCTTAGTCGTCTCTGCAAACGGATATTAAAAAATCAGACTTTAAAACATTTAAGAAAAAAAAATTCATCCAAATCTCAACTGATGTTCAAAATATACAAATGATGAAGCAAAATCAATTAAAAGAATGAGTTTGTTTAGAACCAAAAAGCACAATAATACACTAAGAATAACAAAAACCCTAACATTATTTAGGTGCATCGGAATTCAATAGGCCTGCAATTTGCAATGGTTTAAGGTAAAAAGCAAGAAAAAAAAAAGTCCCTCCCTTCCATTCAATCTTGTAATCAATACTAAACGGATTCTCCAAGGCAAACAATTCAACCCATATTCTAAACAAACAGCGCAAAATCAAGATTACTCCATTACCTGATCAAAAAAACTTAATCAACCTGAAAAAAACAGTACACCCCAATCCAAATCACAGGCACATGGGAGGAAACAATAAGTTTATGAGAAAGCAAACCCACCTCATCGAGCTGCCTTCGGGCGGAGAAAGCAAAGTGGAGGCCACTGGCAAGGTAGCGATCATACTGGGCACGACATTCAGGATCCGAGAGAATCTCGTAAGCTTCCTGCACCAGAATAAAGCGATGCGTGTACTCCTCCGAACGATCCGGTGGCGAGACGTCGGGGTGGTACTTCCTCGCGAGCTGCTTGTAGGCACGCTTGATATCGTCGTGACTACCGCTCACAGGAATCCCTAACAACTCGTACAAGCTCTCCGTTGTCGCTGAAAGCTCGCCAATGGCCCCAACATCTCCCACCGCTGCGGGTGGCCTGTAGTCCAAGTGGGGAGCCCTTTGCCGCGACAGCAAGCATGATCGCTGTGTGGCCTTGGAGACCCGGCGCCAGTTGGTGATGATGGCGGAGTGCGAAAGGTCGGTTGTTGTTAGAGATGGGTAAAAGGACCTAATGCTGCAATTAGAGCCATGGCTCGGCCAATCACCTCCTCTCTCTCTCTCTCTCTCTCACTATATATCTTGTTTGGAAGGGAACCGAGCAATGGTCACTATATATCTTGTTTGGAAGGGAACCGAGCAATGGAGCAGTGGTGTAGATTTCTGGTTTTTTTTTTTTACTTTCTGATCCAACTTAATTGCACAATTTACATTTTAATTAGAAATTTAATAATTTTCACATATTTTTAAAAACGTTTTGAATGATAAGGTCAGTGATGGCATGCAACAGCCATAGAATTTGACTATTCAATTCCTGATAATAATTAATAACAAAGCGGAAGGCGTTGGGTGGCCGCCAACAAGCGGAAGCGGTCAATACTCCGAGTGGGGTTCGACAATAATTTTATTTTATTTTTAACCGATATAATGTGGTGTTGTGAAAAACGACGGCAATAAAGTGAAAAATTAGAACGAGTAAAATTGCACGCAGAAAAAACACCAGAACGACACACAGATTTACGTGGTTCGACAAATTTACCTACATCCACGGAGCTGCAGAGGGTTTATTTCTTCGAGGAATTACACCGTCAAACGCCTCGACGTTTACAAGAAAATCTCTATTTTAGAAAATCTCTATTTTCTATCTCTATTTTCTTCTCTCTTTCTCTCTCTATCTTCCTCTCTTTCTCTTAGCTCTCAAGATGACTTGGATTTGTCTTGCTTGGCTTGTATTTTCTTTAAACCAAAAGAGACTTTATAAAAACCATGAGAGCGGTAGGTGGGAGGTAGGTGAGCGGTAGATGGGATGTGGTAGGTGACCAGTAGGTGAGACACCTAACCGGGTCTCCACATTACCCAGTAATTCTCCCACTTCGAGACTGAGACACTGAATGCATCACCAACTAGCTGCATCATCTACTAGCTGTACCGACCTTTTCCTCAAACATGATATTCTCCACCTCTGTAACTCGAAGCCCCTGTCTTCATGCCAGAAGACCAGCTGAAGTTGAGCACAACTTCAACTTCTCACGAGTAACACCCTCAGTTGACATATCATTAACGTAGCCTCACGAGTAACACCCTCAGTTGACATATCATTAACGTAGCATTGTACCTCCAAGCTCTTTCCTAGGTTACTCTTGTATCTGCTTACAACTCCCACTGCATGAGCAATATCCTGCCCTTGCTGAAAGCCGTTTTCAACAAGTCCAGCCTTATGCCTCTTACTACCACTAAGCGCAGTCTTCACCCGATACACCCGCTTGTTGTGCAATGTCTTCTTCCTTGATATAAGTTCTGTCAGCTCCCAAGTCCGATTCTCTGGTAGAGAATCTGTCTCCTTCTTCTTGGTCAGCTCCCACTTGTTCGAATTCTTATCTTGCAAGATTTCTTCATAATTCTGTGTTTCTCTACCATTTGTCTGTACAAGGTCTGGTTTTCCTGCCTTTGGTGCTCTGCCACTTTTCAGGAATGGACCTTCTTCTGCTTCCCCATAATGCACATCTGACTCATGTCTCCACGCCTGAGTAAACCTGTAGTCATATATAGTGTGTCAGTTTTCTCACCCCGATGCATTACTAATGCTCATTTGGTAACCTTCCATGTGCTATCTGAGAACACTACTGAATGATCACTCTCATTGGTGTTATCTGAGAACACCACTGAATGACCACCTTCATTGAGCTGCCCAACAGAGATGAGGTTTTTCTTCAACTCAAGAATGTATCTTACCTTTTGCAATGTCCATTTGTTCTTATTAGGGAGTGCAATATCAACTTCTCCCATCCTCACCACGTCCAGAGCTTTTTCATCAGCCAGATGTAGCTTCTCAAAGTTATCTACAAGATAATTTCGCATTAACTCCCGGGGGGAAGATGTATGGAAGAAAGCCTCTAAATCCAGTATCCAACAGAGATGAGGTTTTTCTTCAACTCAAGAATGTATCTTACCTTTTGCAATGTCCATTTGTTCTTATTAGGGAGTGCAATATCAACTTCTCCCATCCTCACCACGTCCAGAGCTTTTCCATCAGCCAGATGTAGCTTCTCAATAGCTTCTCAAAGTTATCTACAAGATAATTTCGCATTAACTCCCGGCGGGAAGATGTATGGAAGAAAGCCTCTAAATCCAATATTCAATCATCAACAGAATTGTTAACTGCCAGCAATAATGCATCATGTATTTCTTCAGTTACAACATTAGCGCCATCATTCTCCTTCTTCTTAGGATTCATGTAGTTCCTTTTTATAATGCCAACATTGCCACAATTCCAACACAATTCCAACAGTTGCCTGCTGACCAGACTTTGATTTTGATCTTCCTCTGTTTGAGTTCATGTCCTGTGATCTCCCTTTGGAATCAACATTCAACGCCGAACTTGACACGAGTCTTCAGCCAAAATCAAATCACGAATATCATCATATTTCAGCTTGTATTTACCTACAGAATTGCTAACTGCCATCATCATGGCTTTCCAGCTATTTGACAATGATGTCAACAATATCAATGCACGTATCTCATCATCAAAATCAATTTCAAAAGACGACAACTAATTTGTGATCGTGTTGAAATCATTCAGGTGTTGAGCAACATAGACACCTTCCACCTTCTTCAAGTTCAATAACTTTTTCATCAAATGCACCTTGTTATTCACTGATGACTTTTCATACATACCTGATAAAGCCACCATGATATCTACAGTAGTCCTCTCCTTGATGACGATGTGGACAACCGATCTCGACAGGTTAATCGTATAACCCCTAGAACTTGTTGATCCAACAGATTCCATTCTGTCTCGTCCATCTTTTTTGGTCGCTTTCCCAGTAACGAAAGATGGAGTTTCCTACATCCTCTAGTAAGCAAAATCTGTGTCATTAAATTTCTTGATCCCAGATGTCATCACTTCGTCTCCGCCCATTTTTCTTCCTTAGATTCGAATTGAAGGCTCGTTGTTGTGAAAAATAATGACAATAAAACAAAAAATTAGAACGAGTAAAATTGCACGCAAAAAAAATACCAGAGCGACACACATATTTACGTGGTTCGACAACTTTGTCTACGTTCACGAAACTGCAGAGGATTAACACACATATTTACGTGGTTCGACAAATTTGTCTACGTTCACGAAGCTGCAGAGGATTAATTTCCTTGAGGAAATTACACCGTCGAACGCCTCGACATTTACAAAAGAAAATCTCACTTTTTCTTTCCCTTTCTCTCTCTCTTCCTCCCTCTCTCTTCCCCTCTCTCTAAATATGTTACAGCCAAAAGAAAAAAGAAGCGAAAACCAAAGGAATCCCCTAACCCCTAAGCCCACAAGAGTCCAAAGGGAAAAAGACAAAAGCTTCTCTTTTCTTCTCATTTCCAGCACTTAATTAAGAAGCTAATTAAATTTGGTGGACCAAGTCTCCACATTACCCAACATGTGATAGATGAGACAATGATTTAATGATTAAACATTTCTTTTTTAATAAAAAAACTTACACATTAATCTAAATAATAATATGATTAAACATTTCTTTTTTAATAAAAAAACTTACAAATTAATCTAAATAATTATAATAATAATAAGCTACACATTTGACATATGTGTAACATATTTTTGATAATTTTGAAAAAAAAAATTAAGAGCATGCAAAAGTCATTTTGACATATTTTGACTTGTTCGTGAATCACATTCAAAAAATAGAGCACAATTAAAGAGAAAGAGATATAAATACATAGAGAAGTAAACGTTGACGAACAATAATACATCGTGTCTTATTCATAAAGTATTCTTCTATTTATAAGGGAGAGAGTGTAATATGATCATATTACACTTTTGTCCCTTTTAATGGGGGTTGTGTCGAGTATTCTTAATATATTGCAAGTCTGAGTTTTTCATTTGGCTAGCTTGATAGGGCTGGTTGGCTGTTACTCTGATCGTCGATCCTTGATAATATATAAAGGAATTTCTGGACACCTTTGATATAATTGGAGATGCCGAGGGGAGAGATCTTCCTTCAAGTTAGCTTCTTCATGCTAGTAGGCTTGCATATCACTTTGTCTCATTTCTGGCATAACGACTTAGATTATGTCACCTTTGTGACTCAGTTGGATTTGACATTGTTGCTCTGGCTAGGATGACTGCATCAGATAAGATAAGATAATTTAATACAAAAAGTATATAACCTTTAATTTTAATCAATAATTTAATAATTTAACTTCCTTGATTTTCATGCAATTATTTCTTATAATGAGGCGTGACGGGACTTCCAGGTGCTATCATAGAGAATGTATCTTTTAATCAATCTCCCAACAATTATGTTCTTTGTGTTGCGTTTGGGAGATTGAAGGAGCGACATTGTCCGAAAGGTGAAAAGAAAATGAAAAATACTGCTAAGAAAAGAAAATTGATCGCACTAGATGATCAGGTGGGGTCATTTGATTTGTTCCTCTATCTTCAATGGAGGAACATTCAAGTGACTGACCTGACTATCGATCTGCCGACTTAATCTTTTACTGCAGCATAGAACCTGTCGACTGAATATACCACTTAAGAAGTTACTAGTGCTCTGCCATTGCTCATGACACGAGAAGTTGTTAGTGCTTTGTCGTCGCTTCAGACACAAGAGGCTATTGATGTTCTACCATCACCAAAGATGCAAGGGCCATATGTAATCTACTACCACGGGAAGAGGGCAAAGTGTTAGTTACATCATCTAAGTGAGATCGAATCTTTGGTATGATAAACCTCGATCTTACCTATTAGGTTTTCATTTTTTTAAGGGTCTCCTTTTCTTAACGTCGTCTTTTGATGCAACTGTCGCTATCCATGGGTGATGACTCACCCCCGAAAAACTTTGGTAGGAATCTGATCGCTACACCAATGATGGTTATTCAAGCATCAATTGAGAGTGGCCGACTTGTGAGCAAGAATAGTGGGATCAACCACCAAGATAGTCCTTGCATGGCTTATAAAGAAATAACCAATCGATGTCAGGCATCCCCCATGTTGTTCGCTAGCCGCCTGAACAAAATTGATGAATCCTTCACTCGATCGGTTCAGAGTCAACGAGAGGAGAAGATACATAAGCTATCAGCTCTTGCTTAAGATGGATTTGATGATCATATTGTTCCTAGTGTATGTAGAGAAATCCCTGAGACCTTGAATTGATTTGAGTGGTTTAGGATATGTTCTGATCTTGAATGTCGATTTAGGGTATATCCTCACAAAAGTGAGGTCCACAAAAATTTCTACTTTAATTTCAGAATATGAGGAGGGCGAGGAAGAGGTGGACAACAGTGAAAACAATGGAGGGTCTTCAAATGTTTGACTCTCCTTTGGTTTCATTTGTAACTTAGGAAAAACTTTTCTTCTTATTTTTAAATACGAGTAATAGAACGTATAGAAAATTCTATGTGAATAAATGCAAAATAAATCGTTTGTAAATTTTTAGTCATGAAATAAAAACCTTACTTTCGATCGGTTTCTTTCGATCGGTTTCACGTTTATTTTTACATTTTACCTTTACCGTATATTTTATATTCATTGTGATAAATGCTTGTGGTGATTGATGGATTGACTTTTTCAAAAGCATCTTTGGTTGATTTTGCCGAGTTACTGATTCAAGTTTTACACTTTCTATGTCTCGGTCGCTCGGTTAGGTCATTGCCTTGGACTAACTGCACCTTATGTCAAACGTATTAAATGGATTTTGTCACATTCTTCACGGGGGTAACCATCAAGACTTGCCACTGGGGTGAATTGTACGCTTCCCATCTTATTGTTAATGAGTAGAGAATCACTGTCAAAGCATGACCCGCCCGCTTTGAGTTATGAGACACATGTTTTTATGATGCATGAGCGTTGTGGGTCGGGTTTTGAGCATTTTTCCGATCCGACATTAATCTTCATCGTTGGTCAATTTTAGATAACTTTTATGATTAGATGTTTATTCCATCATTATTGGTTTGGAAAAGATTTATCGACTGGATATCATACGTCATTGTTGATTTTGTCGTCGAGCAAAAATATCAATTATAGGTTAGTTTAAGTATTCCATCATTATTGGTTTGGAAAAGATTTATCGATTGGATATCATGCGTCATTGTTGATTTTGTCGTCGACCAAAAATATCAATTATAGGTTAGTTTAACTTTCCCAAGTTTTTATCAGACCTTGATGATTCCTTACATGAAGTACTCAAGTTTTTTGAGTGTTGATCCACCTTAAAATTACATATTTTTAGTGTACAATTCATGCTCATTTTATGCACATTTTTGAAAATATTGCACTTTAAAAGAAAGTATTTTGCAAGTTTTTAGTTTCAGAAACAAGGTATGAAGTTTTAGCAAAAATCAAGCAAAAATTGTGCAATTTAGAGCCAAATTGAGCAAGGAAGAAAATTCTGATCTGACACATTTTGAGATTACTTTCTATGTTTAATTTTCTTTATGTTTATCACATATTTTTGAATGAAATTATACTTTAAAGAAATGTTATTTTCATGTTTATCTTATAAGTATAACACTAGGAGTTAACAGGAGCTGAAACGGGGCAAAACAGGGCCAAAATGGAGCAAAACAAGTGTGTTGCCCACAAGGTGGCGCTATAGTGCCGGATTCTGGAACTATAGCGCTAGACATGACTAGAAACTAACAATATAGTGCCGATTCTAGTACCATAGCCCCTAAGACCATTTTTTGACGGCTTTTTGGCTATTTCAGACCATTATGGGATGTTCTGAAGCTTTTAGGAGGCTACGCACGCCCCATGAAGTGGTTAAATGAATCTAGACGCTGAAAAGCTTTTGAATGAAGAGATGTGTCTCTTGGAGTGAAAGGGTGTGTCTTTTGGAAAAAGAAGGTGTTTGGCTTCTCTTTAAACTGGGAGGTTGGCGCCTCTCATGACAAGTAATTATGAAGTAATTAGTGTGTGTTTTAGGAGGAATTTTTAGTGAGATTGAGAGAGAGTTTGACGTGAGTTGATGGAGATGTAGACTTCTCTATTTTATGGAGAGTTTGGTGAGGGATTTTGAAAGATGAGTAAGGAAGTATGAGCAGCGCATGGATCGACAGGAGACTTTGTTAGAGAGATTTTCATCTTTCTTTCAGAGGAAAAAAAATTAAGTATTGTGTTTTTCATTATCTTGCAATTATTGTAAACACTTTTTAATGGATTTTTTTTTTTATTTAAATGAAGTTTTCTATTGTGTTTTATCCATGCTTCGTAAGTAATTTTTTTTACTCTATTCTTTTAATATGAAGTAGTGATGTGTGTAGGAAAATTTATTTTATGATAGAATATATTTATTTTCATGTGATGCGTAATATCTTCTTTGTTTCATTGACATAACTTAAGTGAACTTAAGTGACAATAAAACTTAAGTGACAATAAGTTATGTTAAAATTTGTTGTAAGTGAAATTAAGACTCGATAGGGCAGTGATGCTACAACTTGAGTGCACTCATATTGAATGGT